ATTATATATAATATATATAGTTATATTATATTATATATAATATATATAGTTATATATAATATATATAGTTATATTATATATAACTGTAGTATTAGTTAACACTACATATGTTAACTAATACACTAAGAAAAGGGAATCACCATCATAATCTTTTAAGTAACAGGGTCTAGTCTATTTCCAATCTTGTATTTCCCTTCAATTCACTAATTCATAATATTGTAGACAAATTTAACTTGGATAGAAGTTAATCTCCCTGGAGTTCTAGGTACAAATATTCAATTATCTACAGGACATCACTACTTGAATCTCAAACTTAAGAAGGCCAAAGGGGAGCTCTTGATTTCTTCCCTCTGTTTTTCCCGTTTCAATAAATGGCTCCACATTACATCCTGTTTCTTAAGTCTAAAATATAGGCGTTATGTTTAATTTCTTCCTCTTCCCAATTCCTCAAACTCAATGCAAAACGAAATCTTATTAAATCTTCCTCTAAAATACATCCTAGATCTTTCCATTTCTTTCTATCTCTACTGATGTATCTTAGACCAAGTCACCTACCTCTCTCACTTGGACTATGGAAATTATCTCCAAACTGGTCTTCCTACTTCTTCTTTACCCTCCTCCAAACCTATCTGGACTTCAAACAGCAGCTAGAAAATGGCTCTTTAAAAATACAAATTATAGGGGCGCCTGGGTGGCGCAGTCGGTTAAGCGTCCGACTTCAGCCAGGTCACGATCTCGCGGTCCGTGAGTTCGAGCCCCGCGTCGGGCTCTGGGCTGATGGCTCAGAGCCTGGAGCCTGTTTCCGATTCTGTGTCTCCCTCTCTCTCTCTGCCCCTCCCCCGTTCATGCTCTGTCTCTCTCTGTCCCAAAAATAAATAAACGTTGAAAAAAAAAAAATTTTAAAAATACAAATTATAGCAAGCTGCACCCTTACTTAAAACTTTAATGCTTTCCCACTGCCCTTCTAAAATCCAAACCCCTTCCTATGGCCCATGGAAACCTAAAAGGTCCAGCCCTGGTTTGCCTCTCCAAACTTGTCTTATTGTACCTCCAACCTCCTCTTGCTCACTTTACCCCAAGCACACTGGGATTTCCTTCTGTTCCTCAGACCAGCTAAGTTTGATCTGCCCTAGGGCCACCACACTTACTGTTTGCTCTGCCTGGAATGCATATCATGAAGATTCATGACTGGTCAGCATCCATCTGTGCTTGAGGTGTCAGGTGCAATATCACTTTATTAGAAAAAGTTTCCCTAAACATTCCTACACTCTCAGTTTCTCGCTTTCATATCACTTATTTCCATTATAAAACTTAATATACTCTATTTTTTTTTCTTTTTAAGTAATCTCTACTCCCAACATGGGGCTTGAACTCATGACCCTGAGATCAAGGGTCACATGCTCTACTGACTGAGCCAGCCGGGCACCCCAAACCTAGTATACTCTAAAAGCACATCATATATTAGTTTACTTCCTCCATAATACAAGCACTATGAAGAGAAGAACCTAGTCCACCTTACCCACCTTTTATTCCCAGAGTCTAGAAAACTTCCTGGCACTTAGACAACTGCTTACTGAATTAAAGAAAAAGATAATGCTTGATTATTTACATTAATGCATAACTTAGCCAACAAATTTATATGTAAAGGCAGAAGCGTCATATGCTAGAAATAGTTTGGGTACAAGTTAGCATGGAAAGGACATCTCTGGAAAGTAGTCCCTGAACTAATCACAGAGCACTATAATGTCAATTCCTAGACAAAACTAAATAGAAACAACATTAGGTACACTTCTATAAAAGGCAGAAGAGCTAGAATGCTTAGGAGCATGCACTTCAGGGTCAGATTGCTTGGGTTTGATTTCTGTTGAGTTTTGGCAAGTTACCTTATTCCTCTAATTCCTGTTTTACAGAGAACTGAGGCTGATAGCAGTATATATCACCTTATAGGGATGTTATGAAGACCAAATGGGAAAAAAAACCAATCTCAAGTATTTAGCCAACTGTCCAGCCCATAGTGAACCCTCAATAAATATTAGCTATTTGCTTTTTTCTTCTATTATCGTCACCATCATCATCATCGTGTACCTATTAACTGATTTAGTTTCATATCCTACGCTAATCCCTATGCCTATCCTATGCTTTACCCCAAATGCATTGATCTGTACTCCCTGAAAATGTTTCCCACTTTCTTGGCATTACACTTTGGAACTCATGCCATTTCTGACTCTTGGAACACCGTCTGTCTCCTCTCTCCTCTCCAGTTTCCATAGAGAAATCCTACTTTCCATCTTTCAGACCTAACTAAATTGCCATCTCTGCCATGAAAACTATCCTCATTACATCAAACATGAGTGATTTCAGTAGCACTTGGTACCACTTTTATATGATCTTGGGTCATGTATCTTATATTCCTGCTCCCTCAAAGCAAGAACAATGTCTTATTCAAAATTCTATTCCTTACAGTTTCCATATAGTATCTTGCATTACACCATGCTCAAAACCTATTTGCAGGTTGAGTTAATAGCACAGCATACATTCTACTTACATATCTGCTGCAGTGTGATTACTCTGGAGAGGAAGGCTGAGAGTACAAGCAGATTCAAGGTGATCAGCTGGTCCTTCTCGGTCCTTTGCTTGTTTAATAAGATCAAATAAAGGTGAATCCTATATGAAACCAGATGACATTAAAACCACACTGGTAAGTATGATTTTCCCATGTGCACATCAAAATCCTACTGCCTGACATGGGGAGTGCTACAAAGTTAGTTACAATTGACAGCAGTGATTTAGAATTCAAATGAGATCCTTTTCTTCACTTTGACAATACTGATTGCCAATTTTTATTCTATATACATAAAATAAAGGACCAGAAAAATGCATAACTTGAAATGTTTATGTTAGAAAAGAAATTAAAAGTTAGGGAGAAATACAGAGAAAATACCTAAATATGGCACAAAGACAAATAATAATGATATGAGCATAATTTAATGAAACTAAAAGATACATGCACTGTTTGATCACAAAGCTAGTAACTGGTTCTTTGAATTAACTAGAAAAATTAAATCTCCAGTCAGATTGAGAAAAAGAGAATAAACAGTAATAGGAACAAAAAGTGGGACTATTATCACAAAAATTAGGAAGATAATAGGGGATTGTTATAAATAGTTTTATGCCAATAAATTGGAAAACTTAGACCAAGTAGAAAATTCCACAGAAATATAAATGAACGAAACAATAAAATAAAGTAGTAATAGTCCTTATAAACTATTAAAAAACTAGAATCAATAATTAAAAATCTCCCCATAAGGAAAATATTAAGCATATCAAACACCTTTGGTTTTACCGGCAAAGTCTACCAAACATAAAAAGAACAGATAATTACACTTTTACTCAAACTTTACTGACAATGGAAAAAGTAGAAACATTCTTGATCTCATCTTATGAGGCTAGTACAACAATGATACTAAAACTCGTCAAGGACATCACAAAAAGGTAAGTTATACCCTATTCCCACTCATGAACAGAGAGATAAAAATCTCTCAACATCACTTTATTTCTATTATAGAACTATATATTTCTTTTCTTTTTTTTTTTTTAAGTAACCTCTACTCCCAACATGGGGCTTGAACTCATGACCCTGAGATCAAGAGTATTTACACAAAGTGATGTGTAAACATAATTAAAAATTTTATAATGAAGTCATGAGTAACATTATTACTAATACTAATTTTTACAATAAGGACCATTTAACATTGAAGAAAAAGGTTCTAGGTGATAAGGCGTTCCTTCCATCTCACAAGTTTATTTTCTACTATAATATATAATCAGAGAAGTTGCTTATTTCTTACATTTGGAACTTACTTTCTTTTATGGCCTAATATATAAATACTTTTATAAACATTCCATGGGTACTGGAAAACTACTTTCAGCCTATAGAACTTTATATATCAATTACATGTTTACTAATTATAGCATTTACATCTTCCATATATTTATCTTTTGTCCACTTGAACTATGGTGGGTTGGGAAGCAGGAGTTAAAGTCTCCTTATACTAATAATGCATTTATTACTATTTCATGTAAGAAGTTTTTTCTCAATGAATTTGAATACTATGCTACTGAGTGTATATTCAGAACTGTCAAATCTTCACTAAAGATTGCATTCTTGAACACTACAACATGGCTTTCTGTTCCTTAATTGTAGTATGTTGAACCTATTAAACCGATGTTAAGATTGTGACTTCTTTTTCTCTTACTATTAGCCCAATATGCCTTTCTCTGTTCTTTCATTTTCAACATTGCTGAGTAACATTATTTGAATACAACATATATTTAGGTTTTGGGTTTTTTTAAATCCAATTTGGGTGATTTTTTAAATGTTTATTCATTTTTGAGAGACAGAGAGAGATGGAGTGCAAGTGGGGGTGGGGCAGAGGGAGAAGACGACATAGAATCCAAAGCAGGCTCTAGGCTCTTAGCTGTCAGCACAGAGCCCAATGTGGGGCTCAAACTCACAAACCATGAGATCATGACCTGGGCCGAAGGTGGACGCTTAACCAAATTTCAGTGATTTTAGACATTTATAATTGCTGACAGATTTGGTTTTGTGTGGTTACTGTGTTTTATGGTAGCACTGTTTTCATCACTTTTTAAAGTGTTTCACTAAATGATCTGTGATATCTAAAAAAAAAAAAAAAAGGACTTTGCAGGCTTAACCAAAATCCAGAAGTCAAAGAAAAAGATGAACTGATTTGACTACATAAAAACTAAAAACTTTTGACTAAAACCACAATAAACCAAGTTAAATTAAATCTTTAAAAAATAAATAATATTAGGGTTTTTTTCCTACAGCTTCATAACATGATTTTTATTATAAATAATTCTTTTCTATTCTTTCCTTTCATTAGGGGCACTCTGAAGTGCAATCTAAGTAAAGGCTTTCATTGGAGTAAGGTAAGGCTAACAACACCAGTTAATACATGTAGTCATATTCAGTGTTTTACATATTCTAGCCACTGACAAATTGAATATACTTATTTAACTAAAATAGTGTGGGTATAAATCCATCTATAAATCCATATATTCAGCAGTAGTGGCCTATTCCCATTTTTATTTCAATGATATTTTAAGAGACCCTAAGACTCACTAAGAAATGCAAGTAAACCTGAGCCTTCACAGGATTTAGGTATACTACAAATCAGGCATTCTACTTTCTCTTCAGATTAGCACAACAGGCTGGGCTGCGGATTAGCATAACAGTATTATACTAAAGTGAATGCCTCCTCCAAGGGTTAAGGTAGCATTTTTTAACCAATAGTCTTCATGTTTCACTCAAGTATCCCTTTTATTCCTCCATCTCCCCCCAACACAAGTGGTAACACAGATATATAGATATGTTTATAATGAGTATGTCATGATAGTGGGAAAGAAGTACAGTGCAGTGGTCAGGCATGAGACTCTGGAGCCACACCACACAGAATCAAATCCCAGCCACTTATTGGTTGCGTAACTTTGGACAAGTTGCTTAACCTCATGATTCACTCCTCTGAACTGTTATGTGGAGATACTAATCATGATAGTAACTTATAGTATTGTGAGAATAAAGTGATTAACACATGTTAAACATTTAGAACAAAGCCTGGCACAGAGTGCTATGTAAGCATTTGAAATTATTATGGTTCAGTTCTTATTTATACATAATAAATGCTTTTATACAAAGGATGATGTATCTGTTCAAATATATGAATGTATACCTCATACATTCCGTCTGTCTATCCACCCAATATTTGTTGTTTGTCTACTTGGTAAGTGGCCCTATGCTAGGAATTAAAAATTACAAACAACCCTCCAATTGCCAGATACCAATGGACTGGAAGAATCATTTCAGAAACGTCTGTCTTCTTCCACCTTACTCAACATATTCAATTGAGGTCTATGTGCAAAATAAACTTCGATAATCCTCTACCACCAAAATACTCTTGCTCTTTTCTAGTTTTTCCCATATCATTATCACTCCTTATAACCTGTTGTCCAAAGCAAAAAAGGAGTCATCTTCAATTATTTTTTCCCTCACACTCCACTATCCCATCCAGGAAAGTCATGCTGACTCTAACTTCAAAATATATCCCAAGTCTAACTTCTCATCATCTCTAACATTACTGTAGTCTAAGTCATTATTCTCTCTTGTCTGTACTACCACAAAAGCATCCTCCGACTGTTTTTCAACACTTCCACTCTTGCTGCCTCCCAGCTCTTCTCAATAGAGTTAATAGGCTATTCCTCACACCCTCCACCCTACTCAATGACTTCTCATCACACTAGAATAAATCCAAACTTAATGTCTGGCCCTTGTTACCTCCCAGGACTCACTTTCTACTGCTTTCCTCCTTTCACTCCTGTCATACTAGTCATCTTTATATTCCTTGAACACAGCATGATTCTGTCTCTGTTTCCATATATGCTCTTTCCTCTGTCTGCAGAATTTTCCATGGCTCAACCCATTCTATTGTTCACATTGTCTCCTCAAATAGCACCTTCTCAGCAAAGCCTTCTCTGAACATCCTGTCCAAGGCAGTCATAATTCCCACTTGTTTGCTACTCCCAACTCTGCCTTATTTTCTTCATAGCACTGATCACTATTTGAAATTATATTATGCGTTCATTTGTTTACTTGTTTATTGTCTCCTCCAGTTATCTTGTTCACAACAGCATTTCCAATGTCTAAAAATGCCTGGCACACAGTAGAGACTCAACATTTATTGAATAAATGAAGTGAGTAGGTAAAAAGTGTTCAAAATTCTTTGAGGTTAATTCTGCCTTAAAGTGAGGATAAGATTAAAAATAGAAGTTTCTTAGTTATATATACCCTAAATCTTTCAAAAATAAAGTATTTATCTACTGCTTTCCCCCATCTTTTTCCCTCAAGCATTAGTCAAACATAGTATGTGTACCTTAGCCATAAAGAAAGCAAAAACAGGAAAATTATTTCAGAATGCCTATTCTTAGAAGACTTGTTCAAAGTGAAGTGCAGTAGAGTACCTTGGAGCACTTAGGCAACCTGGAGTAAAACTATTAGTTTTGTCTATGAAGTAGTTCCAGGGAAAGATATTCCTCCTCCCCACATGGTGCTCAGAGTCCAGTAGGAAGAGGCATACAATAAACAAGGAATGACACATTCGGAAAAAATCTATGAAACAACAGAGTTTCTCATGAAGAATACAAATGGAAACACTGGTAGAGGGGGTTAGTTCAAGGAAGATATATCTGAGAAGGTAACATGGATGCTGAGATGTGAAGAGAAGTTGTACTTTGAGAGAAGCAGGAGGCAGAGGTTTCCTAAGATGAAAGAAAATGTGATAAGAAACTGATGTTAGTTTAGGAACTAAAAAAGACACTACTAGTACTAAAGTAAAGTGGTGGTATAGTAGTGAAGAGATTGCTAGAGAAAAAGGTGGGTAGCTGTTTGATGATGCAAAATCCTAAAGACCATGCTACAAAGTCTGAGCATGCTAAGAGAAATGGAACATCTATTACAATAGAAACTATGTTTTAAGATACAGATTTTTTGTGTCAAAAATCACTAATATAGAGATAGCTAGTTCAATTGTGCCTTGTTTCCTATTATATATATTTGTAGCATAGAACTGGGGTTCTAAAAATATTTG